ACACACACACACACACACACACACACACACACACACACACACACACACACAAGGTGGGCGGGCGGTATCACCAGCAGCACAAACCACAGCGTTAACAACAACTACATCCCCTGAACGCCTCACAAACCTTTGATCCAGAGGGCACAGCGGTCTGAGTCCAATTCTGGGTTCAGGTCCGATTCATAGAGTGGGTGTGACATGGTGCAGTGGGTCCAGTCAGGATGGGTTCTGATCCGTCTCTTTGTCATACGTAAATGACATTCATGCAGTTTAAATCAATGTTTGTCCTGTTTTAAATAAAAGCCTTAAAGTTGATCTGTTGTTTAATGTAAACTAAATAAAAACTCACATTTTAAACCAGTGAAAATGATCCAACAGCTCTCTGTGCAGCTTCTCAGAAACAGAACCAGAACTCTCCTCTCTGTGCAGCTTCTCAGAAACAGAACCAGAACTCTCCTCTTCCTCTTCCTCACAGCCACAGTAAAATGTCCACTCATCACTTTAGCAGGAAACCGTTTTTATTTCAGAAGCTTCCAGCTGAAAATCAAACCTCTGCTGACAGTGAGTCATCAGAACTTCCCTCCATTAAAGCAGAACCTGCTCAGGCTGCACGGGTCCATCAGAACCACCAGGAGACCAGCATCTGGACCAGAACTCTGCAGGACAGCAGGTGTCACAGAGCCTTCACCTGGACCCTGCGACATGAAGGACCCCTGGTTCTAACATGACCTGCTGACCTGTGGGGTCAGGGTTCCTCTGGAACCTGAGCAGCTGTCTGAGCTGGACAGAGTTCTGCTCTGGTTCTGAAGCAGTCCACATGTCCTCTGATGGAGCAGCTGCTGGTCTCAGTAAATTATGGGTTTAATTTCTAGCCTGCAGCAGTGAAGGTGTGTTCCAGGGGTCTCATCTGTWACCTGCTCTGAAGTGAGGACCTCCTGGACAGTTTGGACTCAGAGTGGACTCCTCATCTGAAGCTGACCCACTGTCAGAGACACAGTCCGGTCTCTGAGCTGAGCTGTAAACTGGACCTGCTTCACAGAGTGGATCAGTTCTTATCTGCAGTAAAATAAAGGAAGAACTTCTGATCTGACCAACATCTTCACATCTTCACTCCAAACGGACTGAACTTCACCTGAGACACCTGTCAATGAATAAGAGACCAAAGATTTGCTTTGAGGAAACGATATATTTGTTGCTTCTAGAAAGGTTTAAACATCAATCATAACATGAAGTCTGTGGTCATTTGGACCTGAGTGCAGAATCTGTACCCCCTCACTGGTTCTACCATCAGTCTSACTACAACCCAGAACTGAACAGATGAGAACAAACTGACTCACAATCAGGTTCATCAGAAGGTTCTGATGGGTTTATTCCAGAACCACCGACTCAAACACATCGTCACAAACTCAGAACACTGTGAAGAGTCCAGAACAAGAACCAGAACCAGGTCTTTGTCTTTATGGGATCTAACCATAACTGTATGTCCAGATGTTCTTCAGAGACGTCATCCCTCAGATGATATCATCCCTCAGATGACATCATCCCTCAGATGACATCATCCCTCTGTGAGGTCATCGTTGAAGTAGAGGAGAACAGCAGGGATGAAGGCGTCTCGGTCCAGTCTCAGCTGGTCCAGCTCCAGGTCTTCATCAGGAACTCCGTTCTCACTCAGAGTCTTCTTCATGTCCAGGATCACTCCGTCAAACTTCCAGGTGTAGCTGTGGGCGTGAGAGTTGTAGCGCAGGTAACGCTGGAGGATCTCCTTCATGGTTTCCTCAGAGCACACCTGGGGAACCAGGAGAAGCTCAGAAACATCTCAGACATGAAGCTGAAGAACGTCTCAGACAGGTAGAAGAACATCTCAGACAGGAAGAAGAACATCATCTCAGACAGGTAGAAGAACGTCTCAGACAGGTAGAAGAACGTCTCAGACAGGTAGAAGAATGTCTCAGACAGGTAGAAGAACGTCTCAGACAGGTAGAAGAACATCACAGACAGGTAGAAGAACATCGTCTCAGACAGGTAGAAGAACATCACAGACAGGAAGAAGAACATCGTCTTAGACCGGTAGAAGAATGTCTCAGACAGGTAGAAGAACATCACAGACAGGAAGAAGAACATCGTCTTAGACTGGTAGAAGAATGTCTCAGACAGGTAGAAGAGCATCACAGACAGGAAGAAGAACATTGTCTCAGACAGGTAGAAGAACATCTCAGACAGGTAGAAGAACATTGTCTCAGACAGGTAGAAGAATGTCTCAGACAGGTAGAAGAACAGTCTCAGACAGGTAGAAGAACATCTCAGACAGGTAGAAGAACATTGTCTCAGACAGGTAGAAGAACATTGTCTCAGACAGGTAGAAGAACATTGGCTCAGACAGGTAGAAGAATGTCTCAGACAGGTAGAAGAACAGTCTCAGACAGGTAGAAGAACATCTCAGACAGGTAGAAGAACATTGTCTCAGACAGGT